ATGTAAAATGTTTATATCTAAAATGAAAACAACGTACAACAATTATGGTTTTATAAAACAAAGATCAACATGTGAAGTTGAGACTTTACACAGTTGCTATAAGATAGTGGATGAGTTCTTAATCAAATTCAATTGTATTAAGCTGATTACATGTACATTGTCGATGACGTTATATATTAAGCAATGTTGTGCTTATTTACGATACTGGTTTTTCCCATGGCTATTTTTAGAAAAATGTTTATAGCATAAAAAATTGTGAAACTACTTTTAAACAAAAACAAAGTAGATTATATATTGTCATTTTTAAAACCCGTAAACGTATGTTTGTGAGGCAGTTATTACTTACAGTGTACACACATTTTTATAATGTTATTGGGAGTGAAAGTGATTCAAATATGCATGTACATTATAAAGGCGATGCTTTTTGGAACTTACTGTTAGTTGATAACAAAAACAGATCACTTGATGTAAGTGATAATAAAGTAATTTATAAACAAACATGTAAAAACAATATTGAACAGATATCCAAAATTACTTACCTTTTTAGAGTGTAATCTTCTTCAGAAAAGAGTCGTTTCAAAATCGTGAAAGTAATCCAAAAAGCCATTTACGTATGAATTCTAAATTAGTTTTAAATCCTTTCTAAATTCAGACTCAACTATAGTCTGCCACATATATAAGTACACTTTTCAATTGCAACATACTCAATTCATTTGTTTAGAGTGTTTAATTCACACACTATTTTTATTACACCTAGTTATTAGTGAACTGCAATATAATCCTACTAAATCGATAGCAGTAGATTTATTTATCCAAATTGAATGCTTTATACACAATGTAGCTTATTGTAACGAAATGTGGTTCCCCTGAAATGGAACTTGTTTCCCCTAAAATTGTGTGATGACGTTGTTTAAATCTCACCCATAATTGACTTTTCTTATTATATATTACTTGTATAACTATGTTTAAACATTGTTAACCCTAAAACTTTTATTATTCTTGCCTATGTTTTAACATTCGGAACACCTGTGAATTGTTTATTTCAATTGACGTACAATGACGTCAGTTCCGGTTTTGGTAATTTAGGTATTTTCCGAAATGGTAAATGGTAAACCAAAATGGTAAATGGTAAACCAAATCGGTAAATTGGTTTACCTAGGTATAAATACGGCGGAGAATACAGATAAGTCTTCAGCTCATATTTTACCCTGGGCAAGTAACTTTCGCTAATTCCAAGCGTTATAATAAAATTAAGTACCAGTTACCAGACCAAGTCAGTAGAACCAGTTACCAAGCAAACGACAGATAACCATGTCTGAGGAGAATAGGTCCGTACATATTTTGGTTTGTTAATTCGTTTACGAGTTACACACGGAAATAACTTATTAAGTTAAACTTTATCTTTTTGCATTGAATTTGATTTACCATTTGCCGATTACCAAACTACAATTAGTAAACTTTCTGGGTATATTTTCCGCTATCCATTTTCTTTATTTCACGATAGAGGGTTAATAATATATTTATCTATAAGATTATGATTTAGTTAAGTTATTTAATATTTATCTGTATTGTTGATAATTTATGCATCTTAAATTTAATATAAGTTGATTTTTATTTAACGAGTCTGTTATTCCTACAAACACTAATACGGAGAGTTACATACAAAACACACAAACACTTTCACAGGCCAAAAACGTATTTCCCGATATACCCTTTTTTTATGCCCCCGCCGTAGCGGAGGAGGCATTAAGTTTTACCCTTGTCCGTCTGTACGTCCGTCCGTCCGTACGTACGTACGTCCCAAAATTATCCACTGATAAAACACAGATCAAGTTGAATTTGGGTAGTGTCACTTTAACCATTATTGAGTTATGCCCCTTTATAAATCGAAAAATTGCAAAATTTTTAGTTTCCATTCTGTTACTTAAGTTTGCCCCAACCAAACATTATGAAACTCAGATAGAGATTAAAGAATAATTAGCATGCGATTGTTTTATTGATTCCCTAAATGATGTTGACATGGCATGGGCTATTTTCCAGGCCAAAGCAAAAAGTATTAATAAAGCTATTCAAGTAGCTCTTGAATATGAAGCATTCCAAAATGAAAGACGTAAACACGGCACTAAGCTATAAATGAAAATAATAATTTTGATCTAAATAGGGAAATTTATTTGTCTGAACAAGTTGATGTCATTTCAGGTCGTCTTGCAAAAATAGAAAATAATAGAAAAAAATAAGAAAACTTTTTTTTGTTACCATTGTGGGGTTTCCAGTATTTAAAAGGGAATGCCTCCTATTGTATAACCGATCCCAAATGTTCGAAGGTAGCAGAACTAACAACCTAATTCCAAGAAAAGTGGCAGACCAAATGACTGGTCAGGGAAACTATTAGTGGCTGAAACTGAGGACCAAGTTTCAGCCGAAACTAAATATGATTTTGAAGAATCCAATCATTTTGAGAAATTGAATCAGATAAATATATTCTGAAAGTATATACTTAGTATGTACATTTTGTAATTGTCAGTGTTATTGACATGAAATTAAATTGTTTGGTTGATACCGGGTCCACTGTTAGTGTCTTTAACTCATCCATGTATAATATTATGTCCAAGAGTGTAAAGCCAGTGTTATCCAATGCACGTAGTGGTTTAAGCATGGCAAATGGAAGTGTAGTTATGCCAAAGGGGACTGCTAAATTACCTACGCAGTCGGATAATAAAATTGTGTATCACCGTCTCATTGTTGAAGACATAGATATACTTGTACCAAGGATTATTGAGTTTGATTTTTAAAGATAAAAGTCCATGTATATTGTATAAGGGAAAGAGTTTTTTTTTAAATTGACGGTCAATTTATTTCAGATTTTTATTAATATTGCTTACATTTATTGATTGTTTAAATATGTAACTTATTTTCAGGAAATTCAATTGTACAATAGTGTTTTATGAACATTTGATGGTGCTCTATAACCATTTGTCAAAATACACAGAATTAGTTCTGATGTAAGAACATTCATCACGCGAAGAAGATGTGTTAGTGCTTTATGAACATTCGTCAAGTGAAAAAGATATGTCGGTGCTCTATAAACATTCGTCAAAATAAACAGAACTTGTGTTTTATGAACAATCGTTATGAGAAGAAAAAAAAAAGTTGCTACCCATTACACCGGGGAACTTCACGCGCGTTTTCCTAAGTTCCATGGTTGTTCCTTGTGAAATATCGAATCCTGTAGATTATCCATAATATCTGTAATTAAATATTTAATCAACTAACGATTTTATCTTATTATGTCGATCATTTTCCCTCATTTTAGTAAATGCATCACTTGGCTGCCACATATTCAATGAATGGGACTACTGACCTAGCTATGCAAATGACCCACGTTGACGTCACACCGTCTATGATGTAACTCTCACAACATTGAGCGCCAAATTCGAGCCATTACCGTATCTCTGTCTCTGGATTAAAAACGTCTTATATTTGACTACCTGTAGTGTTCTACCAAAGGTAGTACCCTACACCCCGTTAAAAATATGTCAAATTGCCAAATTTCAATAAAAGATGTTTAAAAAATGAAAAAAACGTTGAATTCACGTTACACGTTGTGGTCGAATTTCTCAAAAATTCGCCAGATTTGGACTAAAACCGGGGATAAATTCGTTATCTACGTTCATATCCGTAGATATGGATATTTTAACACCCTTCAGTACCCTGTACTTGGATACTTCAGGGTGTTAAAATATCCATATCTACGGATATGAACGTAGATAACTTATAATATCTTCGGTTGTCTATTTTTGACCAGCTCAAAGCGGCTTGACCATTGAAGAGCAATACCAAAAAGAAATACGAGTAAGTGATGTTTGAATACGAAAAAATACTAAAAATTGAAGATCTTTTAATCAGTTTATATTAATTTTTGGAATATAATATTTAAAATGTTATTCATCAAGAACATTTCACCGAGTTAACATGTATTTGGAAGATAAACAAAAATCCCAAAATTAACTTGTTGCCTGAAATTATGTTTTGCAATAGGTTGAAGTATCATCATCTGATTTCAGGAAATAAGCCTAATACCTGGAAATTACAGGCAATAAATTAATGCCTAGGCGTTAGCTTATTGCCTAGGATTTAAGCTTAATGTCTAATTTCACTTATTGCCGCTAACATATATATAAGTACGTCTAAACAAGTGACAACTCTAAATAATTACTGTGTGTATTTTGTTATGGAAGATCACTGTTTAAATCAGATTATAATATAACATTTAGCTGAAACAAAAACCTGTTTACAATCTAACATTCTTAAACGTATGTGTTCTATAATCTCTTTTGTTTTATTGTAAAAACTACATAGGTCTGTTTCTTTTGTTTTACGTTTAAATATTGGAGGTTTTTTGTGCTTGAAATTTGTATAGAATTATGTTTTGAAACATTATCTGTTTATCATTTGACGGGTGAATTAAGGAAAATCCCAATGATCTATTTCCATTTGCATATTTTCTTTCTATTTTTTTTTTTTTAGATTTTATTATGTTTTCCTGATCAATGATTTATAAAAACATTGGCATGATTTCTAATTTTTCAAATACTTTAAACTATTTCAATGTCAACTGATTTTAAAATTGATTAAAAGAAAAAAACTCTTGTTTTCCAATTTGTAAATCACTGACACAAAATATAAAAAAACGCAATTTGAAAAGTTTTATTTTAAATTTTTTAATGTTTATTTAATAAAATATGCTGATGTGAGTTGCATTTTTCAGTTTAGTCAAATTGAGAAGACTGTTCTTCCAAAACATATCAACATATTTGTTTGATACTATGCATATGCATCCTCCAGATTTTAACTGCACCATATTTTCTTTATTTTTAATTGATGAAACATTTCCAAGGAGAAAAATTGAAAATGTCTGGTAGTTTCGTTCCATTTTCTCTTGTCGAAGACGAAAAGATCATCGTGTATCTATGATGAGTTTATTTATTACTAAATTTTACCTATTTTGTTCTGGGTTTGTTTCCCTTCTTTTTAAAGAACTTTTGATCCAATCCATTAAGCCTCTGTTGTTGTAATTTTGCTCGTCCGCCTAGTCACTCAACTGACTTTTCTAAAATATATAGGAACTGTTTTATATGTGGAGTTTAGTTGATATATGTTGTGTTTGGTTAATTAATATCTCAACAGACAGTCGATATTTCTATTGGTACTAATTGCGCGTCCCTATTGGTCGTCTTGTTTTTGTACTCTAATGAAGTCGAGTTCAAAAAGATCCTTCTCAAATACAAAATAAAAAGCAACTTAATAGATCATGATATTTTTCGATATTGACGACTTAAAACTAGAATCCAGGACAAACGTGAGGATTTCTCAGCAGTAACATACCCTCTGCCCCGTAGTGTGACGTTTGCATATTAATAGTATCAATTAATGCGTTACACTTTACGGACTTTATTAACAGAGGTGTGCTCCGTACATAAAAACTGCTTCCTCAGAGGTATGAGAAAGAACGATTGCATTGAACAGAGTTTCTACGGTCATCTTTACGAATTGTGTACGATACTATGTGTCTATTTCTCAACTCATGAGTGACATGTTTTCGCGGTCTTACATCTTTGGATACCAGAATGGTCGTTTGAACAGTAATTTTCCGATTGTTTCCTACTCCCGATTGTGACATTTTTAATGAGTGTCAATTCGCATGGCGAGTGATGCGTGTATAGCAGGGTCACTTACGTTGTCAGCACACCCGGTCTTGCTCCTTCAGGAGTTGATACGATTAAATAAGTTTTTTTTTGTTTTTACCTGGATTTAGATTTATTTGCTGGATTAATGAGATTTGAACATCGATTAAACTATTGTTGCCTGGGAATTTTATGAATTTATCAACATCATCTAAAATTAAGGTTTAGTCATCTGTATATCGACTTATTATAAAATACATTAACAGGTGTACTGATTTTATCAACTTGTCAAGTATATTTAATGACTCTACCATTCAACACTTTATAACTCCCTATTTTGATAACACAGAAACACCTGTCATCGCGTATACATACAAAACAAAATAGCAGAAGTTTAATTTTCAAATACTGTGGATTCATTTGTTTTCGTGAATACCATTTTTTTTGATAGAGGACAACTAACCTATTCGTGGATATTTGATTTCGTGGTTTTGCAAAAAACTACATACACATCTTTAGAAAATGTGTACTTAGTTGCACAATTTGAATTCGTGGCTTACCTTTACCAAAAAATTCCTCAAAAAATTGGTATCCCACGAATAATAATGAATCCACAGTAAATATCAGGAACATCAGACGTCAGTGTAGAAAATAATACTCATCTTACTTGACTGTGAATCATCGAATTTTAGATATGATCCCTATAGCCATTACGGGGGATCTCTACATCGTTCAAGACCGAGGGGTTAAAAACCTTTTGAAAAATGGACAAAAATAACGTCCTCCATATCATATCTAAAATAGATTGCAAACAGTGTCGTCAGGTCATAAAAGTCGCTCTTTCATCGTATTGTAAATTGGTGCAAACGGAAAAAAATCTGATAAAAATCTCTTGATTATTTTTAGAATAAATGTATGAATGTTGTGGATATTCGTATATGACATTTTGAAAATATTAGAGTACACGATACGCCTATTTCTAGAGTAAGAAACAAATAAGAACTACTCGCAACGCGGTTTGTGTTTGTTCCTACCGACAAAGCAGCCAATGTGGTGATAGTATGACGTAAGTACTACTACACGGAAGTTCTTAAGAATGATATTAAAAAGGTCAGTGCGCTCAGCAGAGAGTCATATAGTAAAGAGTCATAGCATAACCACATCACATCTTAAGGCCTGTTCTGAACATTTGAAGGTCCCTAAGATGTATTGGTTAACATAAACTACACAAAAACCCCGTAATATATCGTTTCATCTCGGCCTCTAGTAATTGTTTTACAACTAATAATTCAGTACTTTTAACTGGTTCCGTGAATACCATAAAAGAACTTGACATTAACTTTTGTAATAAAACATATGAAAATAGTGGAATTAACTTTTGTTTTAGATATATTACGTGCTTTTGATGGTCCTTTCGATTCGGCTACAGTTTTGATTTTTCAACTCTTTACACTACACTTCCACTCAATCGTACCAAACAAACTTTTTCTTATTTGATTGGATGGTCGTTTGAAAATTCTGATTACAAATATATTTGTATAAAAGAAATACAAAAGGGACATTTAAACTTATAAGTCGAAAATAAACTGACAACGCCATGGCTAAAAAGAAACAGACAAACAGACAAAATACAGTACACAAAAATCAATATAAAAAACGAAAGACTGAGCATCACGAACCACATGAAAAACTGGGGGTGCTCTCAGGTGCTCCGGTAGGGTGAGCAGATCATGCTCCACATGTGACTTCCGTCGTGTTGCTTTAAAGTACAAACCCAGTAATAAGGCTTATTCGGTAGCTCACATTTGGGGAAAGGGGACGGGATTGTAGTTACGACAATTAGAAAATATAAAAAAGAAGATGTGGTATGATTGCCAAAGAGACTACTCTCCACTAGAGACCAAGTGACCAGAAATTAACAACTATAGGTCACCGTACGGCCTTCAACAATGAACAAAGCCCATACTGCATAGTCAGTTATAAAAGGCCCCGAAATGACAAATGTAAAACAATTCAAACGAGAAAACTAACGGCCTGATTTATGTACAAAATAATGAACGAAAAACAAATATGTAACACAACAACAAACGACAACCACTGAATTACAGGCTCCTGACTAGGGAGAGGCATATATAGAATGTGGCGGGGTTGAACTAGTGTTTTGACGCCAAACCCTCCCCCTAAACTTGGACAGTGATGTAACGGTAAAACATAAGAAAAAACTATGCAAAACAATAAACGAAAAACAAATATGAGAAACAGCAACAAAAACAACCGTCCGTCGTCGTTCATGAAAATAAACTCATCATAGATACCAGGATTGCAATTTTATATTAACGCCAGACGCGCGTTTCGTCTACATAAGAATCACCAGTGACGCTCGAATCAAACAATGTTAAAAGGCCAAATAAAGTACGAAGTTGAAGAGCATTGAGGACCAAAAATTCCTAAAAGTTTTGCCAAATACAGCTAAGGTAATCTATTCCTGAGGTAGAAATGCCTTAGTATTTCAAAAATTCAAAATTTTGTTAAAAGTTAATTTATAGTTATGAACATATCAATGATAACTCAAGTCAACACCGAAGTGCTGACTACTGGGCTGGTGATACCCTCGGGGAAATAAATCTCCACCAGCAGTGGCATCGACCCAGTGGTTGTAAATAAACTCATCATAGATACCAGGATTGAAATTTTATATTAACGCCAGACGCGCGTTTCGTCTATAAAAGACTCATCAGTGACGCTCGAATCAAACACAGATATTCCATAACGGTCAACCAACCCGTGATGGCGTCCGTAAAATTTACGAAGGGATTATTTCAACTTCATTACTTGGAAATCTTGGTATTGTACGGTGTAGCTTTCTTATGAGAAGCAACCCTCTATCAAGGAAATCATGATAGGAAATATTTAGTGAGAGAACATCATCTTTCTAGTTGAAAGTGAAGTTAAAGGATAATGTTATTTTCTTTTCTTTCATCCTAAGAGGGCCCTGTATGAAGTCAGCCTCATATGAATAAAGGAACAAGTCGGCAAGAAGAAGAGAACAGTTGGTTCCCATGGAAAAGCCGAATGTGTGTTTAAAAACACGTCCTCCAAACAAATATGTTGTTAATAATCAAGAAATCAAGCATCTTGATAATGTCAGTTTCAGATCATGTTTTGTTTAAATCAGAGTGTTTCTTTTTTACAAATTACGATTTACCCCTTCCTACGACAAGATACTTGTATCTGCGTTGGCCATTCTGTTTTATAAAAGTAGGACCAACACTTTCAATTTGTCTTTTCGTTTGAAATGGGGAATAGTTGTGTAGAAAAGTCAATGTTTTTAATGCTATTGCAAGATGAAGTAGTCTTCTTCTCTAATGAGAAAGGTTAATGTGCTAGATATACTTACTGGAGGTAGGATGAGATGATTGAAGTTGTTAATTTTCTCCTTGATAATATTTATGAACGTTTCAGTAATAAAGTGTAGCGACAGGTTTAGGTTTTTCCATGGGAACTTATTGCGCGCCCTTAATATCAGACTTGATTCTGTACTGTTATGAATCACAGTTTATGTCCAAACTCATCTAAATTGCATTAATTGATAAATTTGAAAAAAATATTATTATCTTGAAAATATTTCTAGTTTAATAATCAAGAGTTTTCTAAAGATAATGCCAAAATTTACCCAAAGGAACTTACTTGAAATAAATCAAATATAAACGGTAATAACTGTCTGTTCCTAGGTTCAGATATTTCAGTTTTACACAGGAAACTCTACACAAAACTTACAACAAAAGGGACGATTTTTCTTTCCCTATTGTCAATTTCCCTTTTTTGGATTGTGATGTTCCTTTGGCATCATCTTACGGTGTTTATATATCACAACTCGTTCGATATGCCCATGTCTTCAGTGACGTTTTGGATTTCAATGAACGTAATTTATGTATTACTGGTAAATCAGTTAGTCAGGGATTCTGTTACCACCAATTACGTTAAAACCTTTACTAAATTCTTCCCTAGATACAAATAATTAGTTTGGAAGTTTTGCTGTACCTATAGAAAACGTATTTCAAACGGGAAATCACCGTCTTATTTTTACGGAGATGTTGTTTACCAAGCCCGGAAATATAGATACTATCCGGGTAAACTTATCGATCCTTTAGATGGACCTATTCTAAAAGGTTACCAATTCAACACTGTAATTAGATCTTTGAATATTATTTTCATTGGCATAAATATTGATTTTGTTATCAGTAAATTAAAACCAAACTAATATTATTGTTATATACATATGCACATTCACGGTTCTACAATCTGTCGATATATGTAATTTTTCATTGCACAAGATCATGTTGTTAATGACGTCTTTACACTAAATCCATTTGGTGTTGGATGTGTACTGATTGACATTTTAGTCTTAGATACATGTTTTTTTTAT